AAAAATACTGGAATCGACTAATCAGCCTAGTTGCCTTTGGCGCTTAACCCATTAAAGCAAGAGTTTCTTTTTCATCTGTAATCAATTACTTAAGTGTTGTGGAATATTCTGGTGAAGGTATTTAACATAAATTTAGTATTTTTGTGCCAATTGACGCCAATTGGAAATCTCAAGTCCTTCTCCATCGCAGTGGGGGCCTCCCTCTTCCTCTGCTACTACCAGCGGGTTCCGAGCTGAAAACTTGCAAAGCGGAATCCATTTGAACGACACGGCCGAGCTCGCGGGGCCGTTGTATTTTAATTCGCTGCACTATTTATGTCTATGTCGTTGTAAAACTCATACAGCTCATCGTTAAACCATCTGTGGTAAAATTTTTCTGTCGAATACTCCAAGAGCCGCCTAATCAGAAGTTGTCATTGTCCATGCTTCTGCGCCATATACCAGCACGGGCATGATGAGTGACTTATAGAGCGTGGTTTTCGTACGTCGACAGAGGACTTTACTCCTGAATTGCCTACTCAGTCCAAAGTAGCACTTGTTGGCAAGAGTGATTCTGCGTTGGATTTCAATGCTGACATTATTATCGGTGTTAATGCTGGTTCCCAAGTAACGAAATTCTCTACTTTCTCGAAATTGTAACTGTCAACAGTGATGTAGGTGTCCAGGCGCGAATGCGCTGACTATTTGTTTGATGACAGGAGATACTTCGTCTTGTTCTCGTTGACCACCAGACCCAATCGCTTTGCATCCTTATCCAGCTTGGAAAACGCAGAAAAGACTTCGCGGTTCTTGTTAGCGATGATGTCGATGTCATCGGCGTACGCCAGCAATTGCACGCTCTTGTAAAAAATTGTTCTCCAACATCAGTTTGGTAGCAAACGGCTCGGAGAGGTCTTTCCCAATTCTAACGGAGCTGGTGGTATTTCTCAACGTCATTTTACACAGCCGTATCAGTTTCGTGGGGATGCCGAATTCAGACATCGCGGTGTAGGCGACTCCTTTTAGTGCTATCGAAAGCGGATTTGAAGTCGAAAAATAGGTGGTGAGTGTCGATCCTTTTCTCGCAGGTCTTTTCCACGATTTGATGTGTTGTGTATACCTGACCTATGGTGGATTTGCCAGGTCTAAATCTACACTGATAAGGTCCAATCAGTTCGTTGACGGAGGGCTTCAGTATTTCACACAATACACTCGATAAAACCTTGTAACCTATGCTTAGAAGGCTGATCCCGCGTTAGTTGATGCGTTTGGCGGGGTTGCCTTTCTTGTGGATTGGGCAGAGCACTCTTAATTCCAGTCGTCGGGAATGCGTTCATCTGACCATATTTTGCATAACAGTTGCTGCATATACCTTATCAACTCCTCGCCGCTGTACTTGAATTGCTCAGCTGGCAGGCTGTCAGCTCCAGCAGCTTTATTGTTTTTCAAGCGTGCTATTGCTATTCGTATAGTCATATAGTGGTGGAACATCGACGCCGTCATCATCGACTGGGGGCTCTACTAAAAATTTATTAAGTACCAAAACGTTTTCTCTGGTATTCGAGTACGAGTTCTCGCAGAGTTCATGCTATTCAAATATCTAGACGATAATTTTAGTACCAGGTTGGTAATACTAAAAACTAGAAACTATAACAAAATTCTTCCACATTTTCTAATAAACATTGCTTAGTTTTCTAACTCTTTCGAAAGCATTTTTTCCCACCCTCAGACACCTTCGGGGCACATTTTCTTCCCACCGCGAAAGTGTTTAACAAGAAATATGTTTTTAGCGCGCCATTTAACACACAGCGGTGTGTCCTTGCCGTAATTTTCTCGACGCTGTTACTCGTATTTGCTGGTTGTGTATTAATTTGAAAGAGAAAAGGATTAAAATGTATTGCCACATGCAAACCTGCCGTCGCATATCACTTTTTTATTCTAATTTTGCTGTCGTTACGTTTTAAGCGTATTTCTTATTGTTTTTGTTTTGTTTTGTTTTGTCTCTTATCCGCTGCCGTTAATCTACTCACATTACAAGGTAATTTGTTATAAAATAATGCAAAAGTAAAAAGAAATACAATTACAAATAAATGTTATAGACCGAAAGAAAGAGTTTAATTTGCCCCCCTCTAAAATGAGTGCGACGCAATTACCGGGAATCGAAAAACAAAAGAAAAAAAAAACAAACAAAAAATATCTAGTGGAGTGTTTATTGCCACGAACGCTACATGACGTCGCCGTGCGGCAAGTAGACTGAATGTCGCATGCTTGCAGCTTTGCAACTGCTGCCAGTGGTGCAATCGCCGTCGCTCCGACGTTTCACCTGACGTGTGCGGCATAAAAACCGCACTAATGCCACATTTGCATGTTTGGCCAAAACACATGCAACATCAGCGATCAGCGACTATAGCTTACATACATACATATTTATATATAAATGTATGTAAGTGGCATTGTCAATGGCAAACAGGCCGTCTGCAACACCAAACATCCCTGCCACCAACCAACGGCGCGGCGCAACCAACCAACCAACTCACAGCTGCCCCTACGCTTACGCCTCACATACACACATATGCACTTTCATAGGGAATTAACTATTTTTACTTTTTTACTACACTTACTTGTGTATGTATGTATGTATGTATTCAAATATTTATTTGCCTCTGTGTACATACCTGCCGGTTTTGGTGATAATCATCTCGGTGCCCAGCTCATGAAAGCGATCCCACAATTCTTTTGTCTCCAAATGACATTGCACCGGCTTCAGTTCATCACAATTGCAGGAGCCCACAATTTTCGGCGTCTTCTGAGGCGGCTCGGGTGTGAGACGTTCCTCCGTGTCGGTGCCGGGCGATTGGGGAGGTGTGGAACGACCCTGACTGCTGGTTGTACTGCTATTCAGATGATTCTGCGATGAGCTGCTATTATTGTGATTATGACTATTACTATTGTTGTTGTTGTTGTTGTTGTTATTGCTGTGACTGTGGCTGTGGCCATGATGGTGACTATTGTTGTGATGTAGGCGGCGCACCTTGGCCGGTGGTGGTTCTTCTGAATCGCTGCAATCAACCACATCAACATCCACTTCATCTTCCACGGAGATGGGACCTATGCAATGGGTGAGAGGTGGGAGAGAAGAGAAGAGCGGAAAAATTAGATGTGAATACGACAGAGGCATCTGAAATGGCAACTAGGTCAAGAAAGTAGGTTAAAAACTATATATAAGTATGATGTCATTTAAAATATGTAGCAAATTCCGTTCAGTTGTGATAGATGTATACAATGTTGCCGCAACATGTTGACGCGCGTTCGCGAAATAGCTGCTAAAAAAGAGTGAAATTTATTGCTACTGCTTCATAATGCGAACGCAAATTAATTGTAATTATTTAGCACACAATGTTTGTGAATGTGTTTGTATATTTATGTACACGTCTTTGTATTTGTGCAGCCATATTATCTACACATTACTTGATCATTTATTTCCGTTGCGCTTGAAAATTTCACATTAACCTAATCGTTTAATTTTCACACTTTTTCTTGTATTTTGCTTTATTTTACGGCACAGCAGCGAAAAATGTGCGCCGTCAAGTAATGATTACTCGACTTTAATTACTTAGTAAATTGTCAAGTGTAGCAACATTTCAAGCCAACAACTGCACTTGTTGCTGTCATATAAAATTCAATTATTTATAATTGTGCTAAATGCAGCGGCAACGGCAAAAAAACAACAAAAATCACAAATAGCCGCATACATAGCTGAAATAACATTAATTATAGTAGTAAAAACAGCGACAGCAGCAACAGCGGCAGTGGCAGCAGCAAAAACAAAATAAGCCAAGCCAACTTTACGATAATTATTGTTGTAATTTTTTGTTTGTTTTGTTTTGTTATGCGCGTGTTGCAACTGCAAGTACATATGCATTGGCAATAGCAATCTGGTCGCTTGGTGCACATATGTATGTATTTGTCATATGTGTACAGGAAATATGTGTTGTACATTAGGGTGGTCCAAAAATGCATATGAAAAAGTAAAGTCGGAATTTGTATGCTCTCACCCCCTAGGATTGTTTTGAAATCAAAAAATATTTAGAGGTCGCTCAAAGCGCCCAAATTTTTCCATGTATTTTATATGGGGAAAAACAACTTTTCGTAGAAATGGTATAGAATAGTTAAAAATTAATTTTTTTCTACCAGAGACCTCTCTTTATTTGCAGGAGATTCCCAAAAATAATACCCAATTGCTTATTTAACCATTGCAACTATAATTTATAGGTCCGCCAAAAACCTCGAAAAATGCAACGGGGCGACCAATTAAAAATCGTTAGTATTAAAAAAATGGCTAAATAAACAATTGGGTATTATTATTGGAAGTCTCCTGAAGAGAACCTGAGTTTTCCGATCGAAAAATATTGACTTTTAAGAATTCTATACCATTTCTACGAAAAATTTTATTTTTCCCATAAAAAATACATTGAAAACTTTGAGCGCTTTGAGCGACCTCTAAATATGTTGTGATTTCAGAATAAAACAATAGGGGTATAGAACAATCCTAGGGGGTGAGAGCATTACAATTCCGACTTTATTGTTTTTGGACCACCCTAATGCACATACATATGTATGCCTTGGTTTTTATGCATTTATCACAATTATATAAATACAGTGCGCATTTTGCTTGGCAACTCCAGCTTTCAATTGCTTTTGTTTTACTTTTTCATTTTTAAATGCTTTAATTTATTTATAATTAATTTTTTTTTTTATTAATTTTATAAGGTGTGAAGTTCATTAGATTAAAAAAAGTTAATAGGTATACGTTCAAAAGAGCACAATTTTCTGTTGTTGTTGATTTGTAGTTATTTCAATGATTTGTTATTTGCGTTGTTAACAGTTTTTTTAATTGAGAAAAAAGTAAGCCATTTGCATAAGCTATCAGCTCGGCTATTTATTTATTTGTGTTGAGGACCGTTAGAGCCGAAACTAACTAAGAAGTAATGAAATACGAAAAAATATGCAAATATCTCCAGGATTTGTCTTCAAGACGACAGACAAAAAGAGCATCCTGACCATACATGTTTTCCCAAAAGCTCACCTACTGATCCTTTCATGGACTTTTTCTCGATGTTATGCCTGAGTACTTTTTCGAAACACTAATAATTTTCATACAGGTAAAATTTGCAGCCTCCATTGTTGTTTTCAAAGCGCTAGTTTCACTTTCAACCCTAAATTTGTATTTTTCTTCATTGCCTTGCAAAATTTCACAGGAACGTTCTATGTTGAGCTTTGGTAACAGCAAACAGAAATTGATACTTTTCAGAACGTCTTTGGAATACCACGTCTTCAATTCTTCTCTTGTATGGTATTTATGCAGGAACTTTATGGTAATCTTCATACTTTGAGAAATATGATTGTTTTGATTACTTTGGCGAGGGCAAGATCTGGTTTTTTCCAATTTTTTAGCTTACTTTGTGGTTTTTGGAAAATTTCTATATGGGTTCTTCAAATGCTGAGTCTTTCGGCGTCTAATGTCTTCGGAAGAACGCTATTTTAGAAAAATCACATTTAGTGGCTACGTTAGTATTAAAATATCATTGAAGCAGAAAACACCAATAAGAAATAAAAAATGCACGCTAACAAAATTTGACGCCTTCGCTGCAGTTATTCTTCATTTCCCTTCACTTATGCGCGTGATAAGGGTGCATGATTATGATTAGGATTATGAAATGGGGTTATGCAACCTATGAGAGAAGCATGTCGTCTCAGCGCGTTCGATTATTTCCAGCTCCCTCTGCTCCTACCCTAGCTACGACTATGCTTGCCGCCGTAGCCAAGTCCTTAGTTGTAAGTGAAAAAACCCAGTTTGTTCCATAAAAAAATCCGGTTTAGTCGATATTCGAAAAATCATGATTTAAAAAAACCGGCTATAGATATAAAAAAAAAACGGGGGAAACCGATTTGGAAAAACCAAGTCAATCAACCTAGTTAGTACCTATCGCAACGCATTTCTTAGCGTTCAACTCCATATCTTTCATTTCTTTTAAGACTAACTGTCGTTTTTCACCAACATATTGCGTTTAAAGGTAACAACTCCCTAGTTTAAAAAAACAAAAGAGATCTCTCCGTCCGTCCGTAAAGCCGTTAAAAATCAAAAATTACATAAGTCTCTCAAAACATACTATTTCTCAAATTGATTTACCGATCCAGCGATGAGCACCGAAAAACTTCTTCCTAGCTTCCTGCTTTTTTTGGAGTTCGCCAATTAGAAGGAATTCGAAGATTATTTTGATCTATTGTCCTTGCTCTCGATGCTTTTTTTTATACGTGCTGTCTTTTGAACCTCTTGAAATTAAATTTTTAGTGATAAAGGAAAAGTTTCTGAGTCCATCTTTGCAAATTTGACGGAAGAGCAGAAGCTTTCTATAGCTATTTTCTTCAAGATTATTTGTGGCTGAAAACGGTTTTATTATTTCTAAAAATGGTCCATGGTGATCAATAAACTTTTGGATCCGTTGGAGCCAATTTTCGAAGCAATACACACGAGCCTCTCTTGGAGCGTTTTTTTTTAATTGTATGGGATACACATCTTTTTTACCACAAGGTGATCATGCAAAATTTTATTGATGATCGTCATACTAAAGCCCGAAAATACCTAAGGCCCTTCGTACACAAGACTACGCAAATCATACCCGACGATTTTAGCCTTTAACGACTACCGCAATACAAATTCGTAGAGATTCGTACACAGCACCATGGGCGTAGCCAGGTAGGGACAGGGGGGTGCTCGAGCCCTCCCCCCTAACTTTCAAAATTTCCTTATATATATATAAAATAGTACCCTGAAATTCTAACTTAATAGGGTCGAGCCCCCCCTAAATTTCATTCTGGCTACGCCGATGCACAACACTATGGTCTGGCAGCTACTATTTGCTGGCCAAAAGTCATTTTTTAAAATATTGATATATCAATTTTTTTTTGTCCACTCACTAAACTAATTCTCTAGAGTAAAAAAGTGCATACACATTATTTTCTGAAAGAGTTTTCCCGTTGAGATATCAGCTGTTAAATTTGGCATTTCTAAAAAAAAGTTTACATATTTCTTTCTTTTGGAGTCAGCATTCTTGTAGTTGGAATTGGAATAAGTCTTCGAGTGCTAAAGGTACTTCAAAAAAGAGAATGGAAATGATGAATGAAGGTAATATTTGTGTGATCAACAAAAAAGAAAACTAACATATAGCATACTAAATAAAATAAAATTAATTTTGAAAATGGACTCTAATTTAAGTAATAATATTACAATTTAAGTAGAGCTATAAAAAAATTGGTTTCATTTGGTGGTCTTCAAGCATTGTGGACAACACAAATATTCAATTTAAAGTTTTTAGGTTAAGAATAATGTTGCACTTTCTTGCGTTTTTTTCTTAGAAAACTCCTGCGTGTGTTTTGCCGTGCTTTTCGATATTTCAAAAGAAGCAGTCAGCTGAGATGTAAACAAACGCCGTTTTAAACTTTTTGCTGCAAAATAATATTAAAGGGGTGCTCTCCGAAGAATCTAACACCTACATAAAAGAAAGAGCATGAATGATATGCAAGTACATAGGTGAAAAATGCATTTTTGCATTTTTTGTTTAAACTTGTACGTAACGAATTTTTTTTTTAGATTTATACTTAGCCTAGCTATAAGTAATATGAGATGAAAATATACTTGTTGCGCTAGTGTTTTTTTTTTCAAATAAATACTTGAATACAAATTTTTACCAATAAAATATAAATGGGCCATTCCAGTGTGACTGGTGGGACATTTTACTCCAGAATGTGATCAATTGTGAATTATAACTATGTCGTCAGAACTTATACAACAGCGAATGATATTTTTTAACATAGAACGATAACTAAAGTATAAAATTGCTTTAACAAAAATACCAAACGATTTCTAAGTTTTATGTAATTATCATTTGAATGAATGTGACTGGTGGGACACTGAAGAGAACAAAGGTAAAATTTGTGCAATTAAAAAAAGAATTTTAGCCAAAACTCTTAATCTTCACGAGCGATGTTTTTGTGTCATAAAATATGAATTATACGCTTTCGCTTTCAATAAAAATGATGTTTATATA